CGACTATTTTTTGGTTGCAGCCGTCATTGTTGTTTGGCGGGTCCGGGCTGGGGATTCGAACCCGCCACCTTAGGTGTACATGGCTGGCGCCTTAGCTGGTTGAGCTATAGGCGTCGAGCCCAGTGTGGGGTTTTCACACACAATCCGAAACACTTTCATCAAACTGGTTAACATAGCCTTCGTGTCATTTTCTTAGTTATTATTTTAAAACATTCACATTCTGCTCTTAGAAAGATTCACTTGTACCCTTGTAAGATAAACCTCAGAAGTGATCCCTCTAATCCCCCTCCCTCATCAGGTGTTATTTTTATGGCATATACCTTAATACTAGCACAGAGGTGAAGGCTTGCCTTGAAAAAAAAAATCTTATCCACTTATGCCAGATAACACCATCCAGATGTTAGCTACGTGACCATCTCAGTGTGCACTGGGAAAGATCTGACTTACAAGCCGCAATTCCAAACCTGTAAACTTTCTACAGCATCCTGCCTAGCAGGTTCTGTCCTAAGACTACCTGGGCTAACCTTGCCTTAAGTGCTCTGCCCACATGCCCCTTCCAACTGCCCCAGGGAGTTACCAAAGCCAGAGGCCTGACTTAGCAAGCAGTGAAGATCTCCAGAGACACGTTAGATGCTCTGAAATATAAGGTGTGTGCTCCCAGGGTAAAAACACAGGACAAGAATTTTTATACCTAGGACTGGTAAATCTGACACTTCCCCGCCCAACACCACTTCTAGCCGGCAAAATTCATATATCCGTAAGACATATTCAGAAGTGTAGCTGAGTAATCTTCAGCTTCAGGTGCATGAGTGATATTCATTTCTCAGCAGAGCGAATGCTTTACTTTCAGGTTTTCACTTGACAGTCCCACCTGTGGGGGTGGGAAAGTGATATAACCACTTGGGCCTCGGTTTCCTTATCTGTCGCAGGGGATACGAGCAGGGCCTATCTCACAAAGCCTGGCTAGAGCAAGGGCTCAATAGGTCTAGCCAAGGCTCTTTTAATCTCACTTCTTGTTGTTCATATAACTGCTCTTTGCATTTGTGTAGAACTCAAGTTCCTGCTCCAGTTTCCAGGACCCGAAGATCGCCGGCATGTTTGACCTGACCCCGGAGTACCGCCAGCAGCACTTCCTCACGGGGCTTCTCTTTACAGAGCTGGCTGCTGCCTTGGATTCGGAAGGAGAAGGGTATGTTTCTTTCTTTTTTTTTTTTTTTGAGACAGAGCCTCAAGCTATCCCCCTGGGTAGAGTGCCATGGCATCACGCTCACAGCAACCTCCAATTCCTGGGCTCAAGCATGTCTCCTGCCTGTGCCTCCCAAGTAGCTGGGACTACAGGCGCCCGCCACAACGCCTGGCCATTTTTTGGTTGCAGCCGTCATTGTTGTTTGGCGGGCCCGTGCTGGATTCGAACCCGCCACCTTAGGTGTACGTGGCTGGCGCCTTAGCCGCTTGAGCCACAGGCGCCAAGCCAAGAAGGGTATGTTTCTGACTTTTAAAATGGGACGTGAAGCCAAAAAAAGAAAATGCTCCTTCAAAAAAAAAAAAAAGAAAACCCTGCCACCCAAATTCCAAAGCTTGACAAGAATACTCCACTGTGCATCATTTCTGAGAAGCAGAAGCATCCTTGCCTTGAGAAAATGGTGCCTGTGGGAATGCAAAAAGATGGGGGGAGGGGAAAGAACCCCCAAATGACATTTTTTACTCACTTGTTCAGAGAGTGGAATTGCCAGCTCTACTATAGCAAGTTTCCCAGAGATGCTTTGGTGAACTCCCCAGGAACAAAGCTATTTTTCACAAAGGTGACAGCACTCAGAGGCAACTGCAAGATGCCCCTTGGTTCACTGCTGACAGAGGAACAAAGGAAATAATGATTGAGAACAGATGCCCGGGGTCCAGATCAGGTTTCTTGCAGATAGGCCGGAAGGATACCACAAGTCCAGCATTTATGAATCTATTTACCTCTTACCTCTCTGATCACTCAGGAGCATGTAGCAGTATCTAGTCTAGAAGTCAATGGACAGAGATGGAGATAGACCACCCCCTTCTTCCTTCCTTCCTTCTCTCCCTATGCTCCGTGAGCCATAGGATCAGAAAATTGCCACCTGTCTCATTGAATTGAAAGAGGCAATGGCTTCTAAAGTATTATAGATTCCATTCAACAGTTACTGAATGTTTACCACGGGAAACACAGTTGAATGTTACAGCGTATCAGAGATATATAAATGCACAAAACAGACAAATCTCCTGCCTCCCTGTAGTTTACCATTCAGGAACTCAGATCCAAACCTCCTTACAACTGGAAAATAATTGAGATCGATTCTTCTGGTGTTCAGATTAGGCACATAGAATTGAAAGAACTTGCCCAAAATTACATAGCAGAACCAAATCCAGAGCCATGGTCTTCTGAATCCCTTCCCAGGACTCATCCTCCCATATCAAGCCCTCTCCCCATCTGTGGAACCTATTCCTGTGACTCCCATTGCAAAATAAGTTTCTGGAATAAAGTATAGTAATCAATGGTAGCATGGATGTTTATGATAGATTTTTGTCTAATTGGAAGTTCTCAAGTTCTCTCAACGTGCTTATAATTTAGGAAACAAGATGTCCCTGCATGAAACAATGACAGGAGCCCAAGTTTGTGTAACCAAAATAACAAGTGTGTGCCAGGCTCTTTGCGCATTGCCTGAGCCTCTGTCTCCCTGTAGGTCAGAGTGGAAAATCTCGTGTCCTTATCTCTAAATTCTGCCTCATTCCAGATAGCCAGGTTCTGAGTATATGCTTAGAAAGCTTCATTTTCCATGGCTTCAATTCCATCTTCTCTCAACCCTAACTAAATCCCTCCCAATTTTCCCGATGGAATTGTCTACCCTATAACTAACACAAATTTCCATAGCAACAACAACAACAAAAGATGTGCATTGACACATATGCTGAGAAGCTGCGGAGAAGAAAGTCTGAACATAAAGAAAATTGCCTTCACATAAAAACATGCACGCACATTTTCTTAATTGTTCTTTAATGGGATTGCTTTAAGTGATTTCTGAAAATAATCTTTGGTATTTACATTAGCATAGTTTCTATTTTCATTCCAGCTAGAAACAGCTCTGACATCTATTTTTGTTGCTGTTACACTACTAGCAACAGGGTGGCATACATTCAGGGATCATCACGTAATTATGTTTAATCAGGTAGATACATTCTTTAAACACACACACACATACACTTAATACCTTTTCTACCCCCCAGAGAGTAGCTAATTAACAGTGTGACTCCTTTGGTAACACAATAATCCCTCATTACTGTGTTGTAAGTTACTCTCCTGGAAAGCCATCAGAATTACTGTCACAAGGTCACCATGCAGGCTAAACCCTCAGAAAAATTTCTCCCTCTAACAATACTTTTTATTGATCAGCACTTCCCTTTGCTACCAAGACCATAAATAGACTTACGAACACCTGCCCATCTGTGAGAAGAGGGCCAGTAGGACATATCTCTGTACCTGGACCCCTGTACAGAGCCACAGCTTCAGTTTCCAGTGGGTCTTCCTGACACCCCCACACCTGGGTATATCCAAGCATTTGGGAATTGTCTGGTATCGTTGTGCTAAGCTAGAAAATTGCACTACCCTATTCAAAATACAACCCACTGCCAGGACACTAAGCTTGCAGTCAGAATGAGAAAAACTTTTGAAATTCGATTTCCAATTATTTTATTTTAGCCACAGTGTACAAATCTGACTCATTTGAAATTTTGGTTAATATTTTCTATATAACTAGATTCTGATGTATCCTTATTTTATTTTGAAAGAAAAAGGTATATTTAAAAAATGATAGCATCTACAGCTAGGTTTCAGATACTCTACTGAACGCTACATTTTATTTTATTTACTTTTTTTTTTTTTAAACAATTTTGGTTGGGGCTGGGTTTGAAGCCCTGGTATATGGGGCTGGCACCCTACTCCTTAAGCCACAGGCACTGCCCTATTTTATTTCCTTTTTATTGAACTATAATTTATAAGCAATAAAGGACCTAAATATTAAGTGTAAAGAGCAATTAGTTTTTACCTATAGGTAATTACCAGCCAGATAAAGATAAAGGATATTTCTATACCCCAAGATATTCCTATTATTCCCCTCAGTCATATTCCCCCACATTTAACCACTATTCTTTTACCACCAGAGATTGGTACTGCCTAGTACAGAATTTCATATTATTTTGCTGAGATCCTTCAGGGTGGTTGCTTGTAGTTAATATTTGTTTCTTTCAGCTCATATTTTTCTTTCAATTTTATGTAGTATTCCTTTGTGGAAATACATGACAATCTGTCTATTCTAAATAGGCATTTGAGTAAATGTCAAAAGAATACTGACTGCGGAAAGGAAGAGTAAATGCAAAATGCAAAGCAAGCAGACGATAGGAAACGAGATGGATTACAGACAGAAGACATGACATAGAAAGTAAGAGAAATAGGACACAAATCAGCAAGACCAAAAACAGTTATTTGAAAATATCAGCAAGGCTCGGCACCTGTGGCTCAAGTGGCTAAGGTGCCAGCCACATACACCTCACCTGGTGGGTTCGAATCCAGCCCGGACCCACCAAACAACAATGATGGCTGCAACCAAAAAATAGCCGGGCGTTGTGGTGGGCGCCTGTG